TTATATAGGAAGGGGCATGAATTGATTTGAGGTGTCACTTCTACGGGGCTGCTGGCTGTTGACTAGGTGCTGGGATTGGGAGGGGGGCGAGAGGTGATTGGGCTTCAGGTGGCGCCGGCAGGAACTGAGGACCCCCGAAGAGAAGCCGGAAGTTTGCCATCTTACTGGTGGGGACCCTTCACTTATGGCCTCTGCTGGCAACTTCCAAAGGCAGCTTTCCAGCCAGAGGGAGAACCACCGGGCACTGCTTCATGCACACACATTTTATTCCAATGATGTGCGTCTACTAGTAACTATCTTTCTTATTTTTTAGGAAGATGATCAAATGCTTCAATAATTTGTGCACCAACAGTCACAAATGTTAAAGGACTTTGGGGACCTACTTGAATCCAGCTTGTGGAAACTGAAAAATGTGGCTCAGATAGTGAAAAAGAAGAGAATGTTTACTGCATATGAACAGCTAGGGTGCGTTGCTGACACACTTGAGCTTTGAGTGGCAAAGATCATGTGCAGTAATGAGCTTAATTAACATGGATACCAGAGCTGAATTGTGGACTCAATTTACTAGACCCACTTCCCACGAAATCTATTTCTTCTACCATTGTAAAGCAAAACTTATCTCCAATTTGATTTGAAATCATGTAAAAATGGGTCTGTATCCAGGCTGAAGGTGAGGTGGGAGATATCTGGCAGCTCTGAGCTCTGTGGGAATGGGAATAGTACTTATGGCAGATGGTTAACAAAATAAAGGAATATAAAGTGGTTAGAACACTGCCTGGCACATAGAAGCAACTGATAAGCATTTGCCATTGATATTTTTACAGTAAACTGTTTGACTTCAAATAAACTTCTTGCTGTCAGACCTGAGACAACGGTTATTTCATGCCCTTCATTTTGTATTGTTGCTCTGAACACATTTGATATCCTATCTCCACTTACTTTCTGTCCTCACGGGTTTATTTGAGATGCATGCAATGCCCCAGGGAGTGCTAGTGCCTGTACCCTGGCACCCAGTTGGGTGCAGGCTGTTGAGATCACCAGGAGTTAGTCCATCTCAAAGGATCTTGATTCCACAAAGCATTGATGGAGGGGCCTCAGTTGTGGACTGACAAGCAGTGAATACTCTGGTGGGGAAAGGCTGTAAAGAAACCTTTTGTGGCTAAAGACAGACTCCTAATAGCAAAATAGTGGTAATAGTAATACTACTTACTAATTTAAGTGCTTAACATCTGTTAGCTCATTTACTTCTCACCGTGTTTTTGAGTTTGGCACTAGTATTTCCCCTATTTTGAGGCTTTAGAGATTAAAAAAACAGGGTTTGTCTAGGCCACTGAGTAAGCAGCGGGCTGACTTAGAAACTGAATTCCTAACACTGGGGGCCTGCTGCCTTCGTGCAGCACTGTCCCAGGGAAAGGCTGGACTGGTATGTGTAAGAAACCAGAAGGAGGAAACAGAGGGGACAACACCAATCCTTGCTCCCTAAAATGTGAATTCAGGAAATCAAATGGGAAGACACTGAAATTCTACTGCAGGAGAGGCTACCAATGTTCCAAAAGGTAGTCTCCCTGGGAAGGTGGGAAATCCGGACTGATGATTTCAACTTAATACCAGGGCCTGAGGGCTTAAGCAGGAGGCCTGGGTTTTGCATGCAGCTCAGGTCCTGATGGAGCGTACAAACATGCCCGAACAACCACCTGCAAGCCGGAGCCCAGATGTGGAGCTCTGCCTGGCAATGGCAGGGACAAGGGTCAGTGAAGCAGCATGGAATCCTGTAAAACCTGTCAGGGAGGCCACAGGAGACAAGAAGGGCTTCTTCCTCTTTGAGCCTCAAAGTTCTTAGACAATTTGCAGAAAGAGTATTACTTGCTTCAAGTGGGTAATATATTTTCTGCAAATGAGAGCAAGTGGAGATTTGTGAGGTTTAAAAGACAATTAGTGTGAGACATCAGCTGTGTTTCAAACTGGAGGCAGGGTCATGCAGGCTGTAGACATCAGTGGCAATGGTAGGGCAGAGTACAGCAGACACTGCAAAGCTGGAAAGAACACTTCTACAACATGCGGCCTCCCTGGTGGCTCCCAAATGCTGAAACAGGACTCCTGGCCCCAACCTCCAGCCTCCTGAAGGCACGCTGCTGGGCCTGCTGGGGAACATGTTGTCTTGTGATGCTGATTTGCAGCTGGCCATGACATCTGTCGCTCCTGTACATTTTTCTGATTTTAGTAATGAAAAAAACTTCTCTAAGTCTCCACAAATGAGTGCACAGCTGAGACCAGATCCCAACTGCGCCAGGACAGAGGAAGCAAAGTTAGGATGAACGGCACTACCACCATGAATTGCCCTCTTCAATTAGATGCCCTCTGTCTTCTGCACAGGCAGTATAGAACCATCCGCCAACACAAGTAACATTTCTATCTGTCAGGCTCCTCTCTGAGGAACAGAAATTTCTTAATGCAGTAAAGAGGCTGTCCTCTTTACATACAAACAGCACAGAGTATGACATGTATGTTTATTACAGGCTTATTACAAAAGGAAAAGTCCTTTGCCTTATTTTAGGGCATCAGTAGAAAACCTAGTTAAAATACAAAAAATAAAATTAGAGAAAAATTCTGCTGAGGCAGTAAAAAATCAACAGAAATCTCCAGTTGTATCCTTCAAGCTAATCTCAGGTAGAAAGCATGGGAGGACAACAGCAAGCCCAATTATTAGCAGTACAGAGGTCAGACCACTGGGGAAGCACATTCTACCACCACTCAAATACCCAGGCAGGTCCAAACACAAAAGCACCATCCAATTGACAATCCTTTATTATTCAACTTAGGTAAACAGTCCAAAAGCAGTCAGTGTAGGTGGGTAAAAAACTAGGCTAAAATGGCAAAAAATGCTATTTCATTTGGCAAAGACCCACACGCTACGTAGAGAAACTCATTAGAAAGTGAGAGTTCCATCAACTGCATGGCAAGGCAAGAGCAGCTCCCACCTTACCTGAATGCCTCACCAAGGAACCTGTTAGTAACACAAACCTACACCCAACCTCCCCTCTGATCTGCAAGTTCGCTTATGAAAATTGACCATGAATTCTTCAGTGAAAACATCAAATATTAGTTCTCTCTCACAAGCAATAAAATTAAAAAATCAGCAAAGATTTGAAATTAGGGTTAAGCTAGTACAATTTCCTGCTTTTAATGTGTATACTTTTTAGTTTTGACAATCTTTCGCACATATAATCAGACAGGTTTATAGAAGAATTTCAAATAGCAAATAAAAAAGCTGTTGATTCATGTATTTTATGACTTCAGTTAATTCTTCAAATGTTTAGACTTCAGAGCTGCTAATGACACTAAATTCAATGCCACGTTGGTTGAGTCTGTCAATCAACTTTGTTCTGGAGAAAGCTGCTCCAGGTGTGAAGACCCCGCCACTGTAAGATAGTAAGATAAAACAGTACACAAAACCAATCTGCAGCCCTTTCTTCTATTAGCACAATTTGGACTAGCTACCAAGTCACTGCAGAACTTAAGAAAACCTAATTCTTGATTCTATCATGAACTAAAGTTGGCTCCATTCCTAAAATAAGCCATTTGAGCAAGGGGCTATTTATTATTCAGGAAGAAACCAGTACTCCAGCAAACCCATCAAGACTGGTTCAGCTCCTGGCAAGACATTTCCACCACACTAGTGTGTTTGAGGGGCCCCCGGAGGGTCACTGGCTTGAGTAACTGTTGCTGTTTATAAAGGCAGTGCTCAGGCTCAGGAGGATAAAAAAGACCCGAGTGAAATAAATTTATGTAATCAATTATTACTAAGGCATGAACAGGACAAACTGCATGAAAAAGAAGTTTCTTTAAATATAGGGGCTAACTTAAAATGCTAAATATTCTCAAAGGGCATACAAGTATTTGAAAAAATTTACTTAGGTTTCACTTTACACAATCTTTGTTTACTGTTTACTATTGTTTTGGGTCATGCCTAAATTTATTTACTTGTAAGCTCATTTGTAAAGTTGGTGTACTTTCAACTGCAAACAGCTAAATATTTCAGTAAGATAGTTCATTTGACAATCATCTAGCCAGGATGCTGTGAACCAATCACACTTGGTATCAGGGCCCCCACTGCCAGGTGGGTATCATTCAGCGATGACCAGAAGTTCCTGGTAATACCACTTAACAAGAGGGACCTTTTTTGAGTAACTAACTCACAATGGATTTGAGCTATTTTTATGAGGAACGAGAACCAACTCACATGTCTCTCAGAGTTTATGTCTCATTTGCCTCTGCATTGTCCCCAGGGGCCATAAAGAACTGCCCTTCTGACAATATTAACTTACCTCTCTCTCTGGAGCAAAGGAACTATAAACAGTTTGAGCAAACCCAATACTGAAAACTGAATCAAAATAAAGTATAGCATAGATGAAGAAATCTTTGAATCAGAAGAAAACCAGACTTACGCCTTAGGAAGATCCGAGGCGTCGTTCAGAAGGGTCATGGCCGCCTGGACCATCACTATGGAGGTGGCCGCATAGCCAGCTTCTGCATCACACCACAGGTCAAAGGAAGCATTTGTGGGACACATACCCAACAACACCCAAAAATTAAATGGTATGTTTTATATCTAACTCTAGGTATACAGGATTTTCTCAATAAACACTCTGTTCACTTAATAACAAAAATTATAATTAACATTTATATCATACTTGAGTGTTAGGAACTATATTAAGTGCTTTATATCTATTAAGCTCATTTAATTCTCCTAGCAATTATATGAATGTAGTCCTATTTTTATCCCCATTTTACATATGAAGAAACTGAGGCATGGAGAGACTAAGTGACTTGTCCAAACTCACAAAGTTAGGCAGTGGCTGGGCCAGAATCACACAGGGGGCTGGCTCAAGTCCACATTCTTCCCCCGACACTGCACTGCTTCTTGACAATAACTGAAGCCAATGATCCTAGGTTTTTTTGTTTCTCAATTAGTGTACTAAACTTCACTTTTAAAAGACACTCAATTTTTTTTTATTAAGGTATCATTGATACATAATCTTATGAAGGTTTCACATGAGCAACATTGTGGTTACTACATTCCCCCCTATTATCAAGTCCCCCGCAGATACCCCATTGCAGTCACTGCCCATAGACACTCAATTTCTTAAAGAAAAACAACTAACGTAAAAAAAGTCTAACTTTAAGATGAAGTAACTTTAAAAGAAGTCTATAAGCCTCACAGACACTGAGAAGTGACTGGTGGTTACCTGAAGGAAGGGCTGAGGTGGGTAGGTGGGGAGGGGGAGAAAGGGGCACAAAAGTTCTCAATCATAATATAAGTTGTGCACAGGGATGGTAGTACAGCATGGGGAATATAGCCAATGATTCTGTAACATCTTCCTATGTTGACAGATAGTAACTGCACCTGAGGGGGTGAGGATTTAATAATATGGGTAACTGTTGAACCACTGTGTTGTACATTTGAAACCAATGAAGATCAATGATACTTCAGTAAAAAGAAAAGTCTATAAGCAAGCAGGACATTAGCATTTACATTTCTGTCAAATAATAAAAACATAGTCACTTTATGTTAAAAAGCCAGGTGGGAATTTGAAAAGAAGGTAAAGATATCTTCACCATCTGGCTTGATTAAAACTGCAAAATAGACCCCATGTCATCTATCAGGGATGACAGAAATTCAGCTTATAATTACAATTCACAAGTAGGACTGTCTTTGCATGGTTCTCTCAAATTTATAGTAAAAGTTCTTGAACTGTTTGGGTGACAGTTTCTTTTTAACAGCCTATCAAAAGC